CCGCTGCGAAGAAGGAGCTAAAGGCCATTCCTGAAATCGATTATTACAACTGTTTCGAAGATTGGAAAATCCGTTGGAATAAGTGTATTATATCAGGGGGGGATTACTTTGAAGGGGACGAAATTGATTTGCAAGAATAAATAAAGAATTTTCGAAATAAATGCAATGTCACCTTACTTTTTGGACACAGTAGTATATTGAAGTTCTATAACCTATGTTTAAAATCAGTGCGTGTCTTTCCATTAACCTATAAAGAACATTTTCTTTTCGTAGCGTAAAACATGTCAAATTTCGTGCCAAATAAACCGTTTTTGCGGGGAATTTTACTGCACTACTTTATTCAGAAGAAATCTGCAGCTGAAGCACACAGAATTCTTGTAGAAACCTATGGTGATCATGCTCTGTCGGAAAGAACATGCAGAGATTGGTTTAACCGATTTAAAAATGGTGATTTTGATGTTCAAGATAGAGAACGCAGTGGTGCACCAAAAAAGTTTCAAGACGAAGAATTGGAAACATTACTTGCTGAAGATCCATGTCAGACGCAATCCGATGTTGCAAAATCATTAGGAGTTGATCGAACAACAGTTTCGAAACGTCTGACAGCATTAGGAATGATACAAAAGGAAGGATCTTGGGTGCCATACGAACTGAAGCCGAGAGACGTCGAACGGCGTCTTGTCACGTGTGAACAGCTGCTTCAACGACAAAAAAGGAAAGGTTTCTTATATCGTATTGTGATTGGTGATGAAAAGTGGATATACTACAGCAATCCCAAGCGTAAAAAATCGTGGGTTAAGCCCGGCGAAGCAGTAGCATCAACGCCAAAGCGGAATATCCACGGTTCCAAGCTCATGCTCTGCATTTGGTGGGATCAGCTGGGGGTAGTGTATTACGAGCTGCTCCAACCCAACCAAACTATCACAGGAGATCTCTATCGACGACAATTGATGTGTTTGAGCCGAGCATTGAAAGAAAAACGGCCGCAATATGAGCAAAGACACGATAAGGTGATTTTGCTGCATGATAACGCTCGACCGTATGTCGCGTCACCGGTCAAAACATACCTGGAAACGCTGAAATAGGAAATCCTACCCCACCCGCCGTACTCTCCAGACATTGCGCCTTCTGATTACTATTTATTTCGATCGATGACTAACGGCCTGGCTGAGCAGCACTTCACTTCGTATGAAGAAACGAAAAAATGGATCGATTCGTGGATAGCCACAAAAGAAGTGTCGTTTTTTCGACGTGGAATTCAAATGCTGCCAGAAAGATGGGAAAAAATAGTTTTCAGCGATGGGCAATACTTCAATTAACTTGTTTTTAATTATTTTTTTTAAATAAAGGATTTATTTTCACAAAAAACGGCGAGAACTTATTCACACTCCCAATACGGGAGCGGTGCACTTGGACACGGTGCATTTGGACACAGCCAATCACAGCACCGTGTGATTAGAGACATTTGTAGGGTCCCTTGGAACAGCCACTTGTGATTGGACTGTGTTTAATTGCCCCGTGTCCAACTGATATACACCCTCCCAATACATACGAAATTATGACATAAATCCAATATTATTATAGGTTAATGTTTACTACACGTGAGATTACTAATATTTCTTTTCATTAATTTAATATCAGTAAAAGTGTAACAGATCATTTATTCATATATTGATATATAAGTAAAATGATAAGCGTTAATCATTAGAATAATAATTACGTACCTACCGACTTTTATCTTTTTATTTCTCTTGAGGACAAAGTATCACCTCACGTCGCCATGAAGCTAATCCGATTACTGCTGAGACAGCTTTTACTAAAATCTGATTAAGCTAGGGAATTTTTTGAAATGGGTCAATTGAGTACGGGTGGGACCCGATTGACCACAATACGATTAGACACAGATTGTAATGATTGGTTCGACCTAGTAATTCACTAAGTAATTCTTTTCATCAGTTGGTTTGTCCAATCGTACCGTGGTCAATCGGAACGTTCCCATTGAGTACCACTGTTCAGTCGGATTTCCAATCCGACAACTTATCGTAAACACCCATTATTCTTGAAATAGCTGCGCAGTAAAACTTACGTATACGCAACTAGTTAGAGAATCGAGCCCCAGGGCCCTTATTCTTGAAATAGTTGCGTACCGTAAATTTTACTGCGCAGCGACTTTATGGTATGATTAAAGCTGCGCAGTAAAACTTACGTATACGCAACTATTTCAAGAATAAGAGCCCTGGGGCCCGATTCTCTAACTAGTTGTATATACGTATGTTTTACTGCGCAGCTATTTTATGGTATGATTAAACCTGTCCTAAAACTACGTAAGTAAAACTTACATATACGCAACTAGTTAGAGAATCGAGCCCCTGGCCTCATGCAAGATTCACACCACGCCCGACGTCCGATGTACGACATCCAATAAAAGAATAGCTTTCTAATGGAGAATTGAATTCTATATTAGAAAGCTGTTCTTCTATTGGATATCAGACGTTGTACATGGACATCGTCCGCGGTGTGAATCCTGTATCACACTGCGTCGATGTCCGACGTAGCATCGATATCCAATAGGAGAACAATTGACCAATCACAGTCGAACATTCTCCTCACATTCGACTGTAATTGGTTAATTTCTTAAAGTTTAAGGCTTAAATCACCTATTTAATCACCTATTGTAGAGACTTATGTGAATCGGGATTTATAAACACTCACGTGTTTCGAGTTGCACAACGCCGAACGCATCCGTTACATTATGCATCCGGAATCAAACAAATTGTGCCATTATACTACATGGCGCGAAGTAACCTACAACCTGAAATTACGTCGATGACGAGGATTTAAGGAACAAGTTGTCCCCGCGAAAGTGACATGTTGACGCATCGGTCTGTTTATCTGATTAAAGGACATTGACACGCGTCATCGTTCTAAGATGCCTGCCAATCTCTCGTTCTTCGCGGCACGAACTTAATATCTATTTCGAGTCGCACGCAATGCGTTAATCGTTTATTTATAACGCGTTGCTGTGCCGCTTTTTCAACCACCGTTTATAAAGTTTCGAGATTATGTTATCGTAAAATGTGTTAAATATTTTGTTTTTTCTTTGTTGCCGTACACAAGTTATGGACGAGATTTGGTTTCATCTCTCCAATCAGATCGAATCGTTGCAGGTAATTGGATCTTTTTCATATGAATATTTTTCGCGCGCGCGAGATCGTCTTTTATGTAACATTTAAATTCGTAAAATCTGCTAAATAATTGAAGAATCTACTATTTTATAAGACAGTAATATTTTAAATTTGACAATATATTCATAATTTGTTATATATTATAATTTACATTAATTATATGAAATTGTAAAATTTGTAATATATATAATATACATAATTATGTAAACTTTTTATATTTATTTTAGTATTATGCATACATAAAATTATCCTATTTAAAAAATTTGATTTGATGTAAATAAGTTTGTATAAAATATATTTATATAATTCTTGATATCACACAAAGAAAATTTTGTAAAAAGGTTCAAGCATCAGTAGCAGCTCAACAAGGACAACAATGGTGCATGCTATTGCTGGCTCAATTTCGTCACCTTATTCAGCAATTGTGTAATGAGGAACACACACAGCATGCAAAAGTTGCTGCACTGCGTGTAGCTACTTCTGTACAAACTACTTGGCAAGATATTCAATTCCGCTTTCATAATACCCAGTGGAATACAATAGACCTTTATCGCCAACTCGCAGCTTTATGTGCTAATAAAGGTATATCAATTATAGTAAGCTGTTTTCAATTTCAATATATTCAATATTCAATAATTTCAGTGTTTAATAATCAAATTTATTTTTATTCTGTCCAGTATCAAGGAGGGATGCAATGTTTTGCATATCAGGTATAGCTGTTGGCACAATAATAGGCTATTATATGGGTATCAATATGAAACTGCCTCTCAACTGTTACATGCATGTAAAAGCTATAGTTTGTTATCGTTATGATGGTCTTGAGGTATATTATACACAATGTATTCTCATTAAATTTCTCGCACGTAGACATTACCTTCACTTCCGTCGTAATTATAGAGTGTGTTCATCATGGACGACATTGAAATACCAACAATCATAAAGCCGAATGAGCTATTAATCCGCGTTCGCGCCGCTTCAGTTAATGTTGTCGATACGAAGATATGTCATGGTTACTCTAGGATTTATAGGAAATTACTTAACTCAGGAGTAAGTAAGCTATCTCATGAGTTCCAATGTGCAGCATAAAATTGCAACGTTTAAATGAATATATATGTATTCAGAGACAGAAAGGACTACCTATAACTTTAGGAAGGGATTGCGCGGGGGTGATAAAGGGCGTCGGATGCAATGTTATCGATTTCAATGTCGGAGACGAGATAGTTTTAGCCGTGCCATCGTGGGCTCCTGGCACGATGGCGGAATATATAATCGTTCCAGAGATGCAAGTAGTGAAACGGCCTAAAACCTGTACCTTTGAAGCCTGCGCCAGCCTACCATACAATGGCTGCCTAGCGTGGGATGCTTTAGTAAATAGATCAATCATCAAGGAGGGCAACGCTAAAGGAAAGCTGTAATGTTCTTAACATTTATTCTTGCTTTTTCTTTGTAAACTCTCATCTATGACACCAATTGACATGTTAATGTTACGTCGTTACAGTGTTTTTATTCACGGCGGGAGCACTCCAGTCGGTTGTATCCTGACGCAACTAATTAAATTATGGGGTGGTCATGTGACAGTCACATGCAAAGAACAGGCGGTGCCCGTGATGAAGACACTAGGCGCCGACAATATCATAATTATAGACGAGAAAGATATTGAGCAATATCTACAATTAGGTTATTTACGCGATAGGTACGAAAATCTAATATAATGATAGGTCAAGATTACGACATTCTCAGTCACACAATGTCACATTTATATTTATATTTTTGTCGTAGATTTGACGCAATTTTTTATACCGATAATAATCAACCGTTTGAAGAACGCATTCTGAAGAAATATTTGAAGCCTAACGGTTCCTACGTCTCTACAGTTCCCGAACAATTAAAGTCGGATTCGTTAGGGTTTATATGCGAAACTATATTTGCGGGATGCGTCAGAGTAAAACTATTAGTTCAGGTACGCTTGAATTCGTTTATATATCGGCAATTTAAAGTAATTCAACAAAGATGGATCGCTCACATCTAGACATACTTTCAATTGCAGTACATTTTTGGATTCAACATGCATCAATGGAAGGAAGGCGCGAAATTGAACGTTGCATATCTGCGAGCCCTATGCGACCTAGTCGACGAAGGTCATTTGCAACTGATCGTGGGCAGAGTATACACCCTGCGTAATTTTGAGTGGGCGTTATTTCATGTTTTAGACCCAAATTCAATCGGTAGTACGATTATAACGCTTAAATGATATTTTATCGTTGATACTAAAAAACTATTCTTCTGTATGTAATATCATAGCGTAAAACATTGCTGTGTAATCATCACCGCACATTATCAACAGACACTCGCATCATGGCAAAACAGAAAACTAGTAGTTAAAAAAACTTTTTCAGTGCGGAAATAAAGACTGACAAACGTAATGCAATTAACAAATAAATCGAACGCGAACGAATAGTTTGTTCTTTTCAAAATTATCGCTGATAACCGTTAATAAGAGTAAAGAGATATTAACGACAATAAAATGCAACGATAAATGATAGGAAACGAATGCGAGAATCAGGTTATTGTGAAAAATTTTTATAAAAATATGCGTGATTATAGAAAATCGCCTCTTTTGTCACTTGTTACGATGAAATTTATCATGTAAGGGAGTATACATTTTTTTGTGAATATTACACATATATTTTACGAAATAAATAGAAAAAATTATGACGTTCAATACATCTAACCTATATAATTCAATGTAAAAATTTATAAATGCGAGAGATGCATCAAAGCGAGATAAAATTCGAGATAAAAATTCGAGACAATTGAGGAAGTACATCTTACGTAAGTAGAATTTACGGGATTGGCACTGTAGTAGCATTCCCGTTGAATCTTATGACATTATTCTCATTTCGGTTTACCACGGAATTTGACGTTAGTCGTTGCCTTGGCTTTTTTGGCTGGCGCCTTTTTCTCTTCTGTCTATATAACAATGTGAAGGATCATTTAATTTATATATGAAATCTAGATATAAAACTCGCGTGTATGTATAAATTAGGTCAAATTAAACAAAAAGTTCCTCTAAAAATCGCAACATGATAGAAGAATTTTCTGTAGAGTTTATGATGTACATAAGAGTTTTATATCTTATCACCAGGGTTGGGTAGTAACTAGTTAAAAAGTTAAAAGTTGAAAAGTTAAATAGCTTTAACTTAACTTAGTTACATTTTTACTCTCTTAACTTCTAACTTAGTTACATTTTATCGGTAACTATTAACTTTTAATTCAATTATCTTGAAGTTAACCATGCCATAAAAGTGTTGCGAGACATCGAAAGACTATTCAGTGCAGGAGAACTCATTTTCGACAATCTTTGAGGAAAAATGTTCGATAAAAATTTCAAAAAAACTTTATTATTTAAATTTAATAAGTATCTTTAAATAAAACATTTCCAAATAAGGTGTATATTTGTTTTTTTCGTTATTTGTAAAACTGAAACCCTAAAGTCATGAAATGAAACAAATTTAATTTTTAACTTTTTAATTACTTTTTAATTTTTTTTTTATTAACTTTTAATTCAATTAATTTCATTATAGGTTAACTTTATCTTAACCATGGTTAAATTTTCAAAGCCAATAACTTTAACTTAACTTAGTTAAAAAAAAAGTTAATTTACCCAACCCTGCTTATCACCCTGCATATCTGTAATATGTTTGACAAATATACCTTTCGCTTCGTTGGAGTAGAGTTTGGTAAAACTTTGAAGAACGAATCGAGTCTACCTTGCGTAGACGTATTTCGAGCCTTGTGAAGTTTCTTGGAGCCATTCCTAACTCGCTCCTCGTTGAACTGCTTGTCGCCGCACAGGAACTTCACCAAACCCTCTTCATCCGGCTCGAACCACTTTAACTAATGAAATGAGAAAGAAAAGACTGAAGACAGAAAAATGAAAAGATTTCTAGTATATTGTAAACTTACTTAATGATACTATATGATTTATATAAAAGAGTAAAAAATTATTTAATACAATTACCACAACATCATCAGCGTTTGATATTTCTGGCTCTTGAAACAAAAGTCTTGCTTCTTTGTAATTCCAATCCTCTGGCACAGAAAATTTCTTGGTATCTATATTTTCGATTATTTTCTCGAGAGATCTGTGATTCTTTATCAATTCTATTGCTCTCTTCGGCCCAATACCTTTGATACTGCTGGTATAATCGCAACCCAACATGATGCACAAATCAATGAACTGTAAGTGACATGCTATCTTATAGCTAGCAGTCGAAAGAGATAACACTGTTATTGTTAAGTAAAAAATGAAAATATGCGAACCTCATTGTGATTCAATTCCAAACTTTCAAGAACCTTATCAAAGTGAATTTCTTGTACAGGCAATTTTCTAGCCTCGCTAAAAGTCAAACGACGAAGCAGTACATTGCAGCCAAAAGTGAGCGCATCCATATCCTCTGTAGCAGTAGCAAAGACTTTACCAGCTTTAACTAAAGCAGCACATTGTGCTTCAGCTTCGCAAGGAGCCTACATGAAAGATATTGATCATGTCAATTAACAAAAAAACTATGAATTCACCTAAATGCTTACATCAATATAGGGTATCCCCATTAATTGAAGCAATTGCTTAGCTTCTTCAGCATGAGTTTTTGTCACTTTGACCAATCTTCTGTTAAATTTATCTATAGCTTCTGTATCTCCTTTAATTAAAAATAATATTGCAGTGAAAATTCTCTATGATTTTCTTCATAAAATATAATAAACTTCAGATCATTTTAAAGATAATTAGAGTGGTATAAACATACACATATTTATATAATTATTATTACCATCTTCCTCTGCAGCTTGCAAAAGTTTTTGTGCTTCATCTCTTCTCTCAGCTCTTTTAGCTAATTCCCCACCCTTCAAATTTGGTGGTTTTCCATCAAACACATATACAGGCTTTATCCCTTGTTCTACCAAGCGTATAGTACGATAAAATGTACCCATTAGGTGACTATCCAAAATTATCTTTGATTAGTATTTGAACATATATTTTTTTGTAAAAAGTCAATTTAAAATTCAAGGCAGAGAACCATTGTATAATAAGAAAATATACCTAGTTGTTTCACCATCTACAGTAGTTAGTTGAGCTCCTTCACTGCGCACAGCTATGAGAAATTGATACAAGCACATGGACGCATCGATAGCTATTTTGCGACCTGAAATAAAGTCAAGAATTTCAATATATCAAAAACTAATAATAAAATCACGTTTAACGACACAAAATACGTTGGAAAGTATATTCGAAGAAAAGTTGTGGTTAACTTAGTCTTATCTAAAAATATAGAATTAAATGATACACATGACAGAAAATTCACGACAAAAAATACATACCAAAATAATGTTTCAACTCTCGTTCTTTTATAGCTTCTGGAGCTATATCAGCTATTAACTTTGATAATCCTAAAATGCCCATATTGATTTAATGTTTATTGTGCATGTAGAAAAAATTATAAACCTTCACACGGTAGACATTTTCTAACAGACGATCTGCTTTTTCCCGCCAATTTGTGCAATATCTATCTTTGGTCTGTTCTTTTCAACTGCACTGCTGAACTGGTGCAATAAGTTAGAGTGAGAAAAAATATAATTGTCTCACTTTTTTTGGTCTGTTCTTTTCAGCTGCACTGCTGAACTGGTGCAATAAGTTAGAGTGAGAAAAAATATAATTGTCTCACTTTTTTTGGTCTGTTCTTTTCAGCTGCACTGCTGAACTGGTGCAATAAGTTAGAGTGAGAAAAAATATAATTGTCTCACTTTTTTTGGTCTGTTCTTTTCAGCTGCACTGCTGAACTGGTGCAATAAGTTAGAGTGAGAAAATATATACTTGTCTCACTTTAACTTATTGCACCAGTTCAACAGTACAGCTAAAAAGAATAGACCACTAGGGCAGACAGTGCAGTATTCTGTTGTACTGAGTACCGCTGCACTGAGGAAAAGAATAGCGATGATGACGTCATAAAGTCGCCGTAATTGTTGAAAAGAACACTTTATGGCTCTCGCAGTCAGCGCGATGCGCGACATGACACATGATATGCGATGAGCGATATCCAGTGAGCATACTGGTATTCCGGAAAAGCTGTACGCTCATTGGATATCACGTATCGCATATTGCGTGTCGCGTCGTAAATCGCGCTGGCTGCGAGAGCCATTTGGCTGATATTTCACGTGTCGTACGACAAGCTTTTCGGATACGTTTATTGGTTGGCGAATAAGGTATTCTAGGTTCCCTGTTCGTCAACCAATAAACGTATCCAAAAAGCTTGTCGTATGACACGTGAAGGGTGCGTTCGCTTTGAACGCTTATACGCTTTAAGCGCTTATAAATATCGCTCACGTCGTTTACTTTGGCGCTATAAGCACTTAGAAACTGCATATTGACGTCATGTGTGACGTCATAACTCGCGCTTACATTCACTTCTTCTATCGAGGGGTGCGTTCGTTTTGGACGCTCACATACTTAAAGCGCTCACACTTATGAGCGCTATTTTTTCCCGGTTACTTTGATTTCTAAGCGCACTCATCGAAAAAATCAAAACCGTTTCCTTTGGCTGTTGTAAGCAATTGTGAACGTAAAAATGGAGGATAAAGATAAGGAAATTGTTTGTATATTTGCTCAAATACTAGTTTCATTAGATGTTTTTGATGATAACGAAACAAATAACTTATATAAAGAATAATTAGAAAAGTATTTATCCGTAATGATTGAATCAATAAAAAAAAAACAATACCTTGGTTAAAAAACTATGTGGAAGTGATTGTACCATTATACAATGATGAAGTATTTAAGTCACATTTTAATAACTTTTCACTTTATAACTTTTGTTTTATTTAAGATCAACGATTTTAACTTTCATATAATATTCATGTTTTATACAACAAAATATGAAGATTTAGGTAAATTTATGAGAAAGTCCGTTTCCTTCATCAAATGTATTACTAGTTGCTGAAATATTACTTATTTTTTTTTAAATTACTGTTGGACAGTGCTTTATTACTCAAAATAAATATGATTTAATAACAAAAATAATAAATTTTTATGAGAGGTGTCCTAAACTTACCTGTTTCTACACGTTTTGCCTCATTTAATGTAACAACAAGTGTATACATTTTATTATTTGTAACGTCTTGCAGAGTTACTCTGGTTTTGTTACTCTCGTTGGAAGTCATTTTGAAACACTATTTCACTTTAAGGTTTATATTGGAGGTTAGATTGCGTCGATGAAATCAACGCAATCTAACTTATCGTTCTCTTTGGAAAATAAGCGCTTATAAGTGCTCACGCCTTTACTGCCCTACCTCGATAGAAGAAGTGAATGTAAGCGCGAGTTATGACGTCACGCATGACGTCAATATGCAGTTTCTAAGCGCTTATAGCGTTAAAA